GGATCTACCGCCATCGCGCTCCCCCACCAGTTGATTTAAACGCCCCGCTTTCTACGTTGCAATTTGCATAGGATTCCGTGAGCATGCCGAGGCCTGTTTGGGCCAAGTGGCAGCATGCGAGGGGGCTTCCGCTCATCCCACGCTAACTCGGCAGACCATTGTCGGACTGCTATTTTTCGGGCTGCCCCGAAAATTGCTCCAAATCTCATGGGAAGGATTCCCATCATAATCCCTCGAATTTCCAGCCCCGAAGGCCAGACTTTCAACAGCAGCACCATCAATTAAGTCTGAGCACGCTGCTGAAAGGGCGTCAACATGGACTTAACGACCATGTGCCATTTTGGCTTCAGGGTCCGTCGGGGTCGATCGGGGACGGGCGTGATGCACTAGTGTAAAACACCCCCGCCCCCGTTGTGTGCAGGTGGGGGGTTAGCCAATGCCCCCCCATCAAAGACTGACTTCTGCCGCCTGCACACATCCGACCCCGAGAACCCCAGATGGGTGGGCTTGAGCCCCCCTCAAGGAGCGCCGTGGCAGGCAACAGACTCCGGAACCGCGCGCAAATGCGACTGCGAGATCGCAAACGCCAGAACTTTGCGAAATCGCATCCGGAACACGGCGCGCTAGCGCTAAGAGACGCGGAACCACAACCAAAATACCAATCTGGGCGCGCGAGCGCTAATAATAGTTGAAATTCGAATCTGCGCACGCTGGCGAAACCCCGGCCCGCAGGCCGGAAACTGCCAAATCACACTCCAAATGGATCTGGGCGCGCGAAAGCCAGAGACAACGAAACCGCACTCAAAACGGAATTCGGGGCGCCGGCAACGCTGGAGTCGCAAGCACGTTGCGAATTTGGGCGCGCAGACGCCTGAAGCTTTCGCCTCAGATCCAGAACCGAAGAACCGCGCGCCAAATGCAACACTGGGCGCGCCCACGCCAGAAACTGGCGGAATCGTACTCCGAATGCGATTCAGCGGTATGTTGTCAAAGTGCATGCCTTGCCGGCCCAGAATGGCGGCCTCTCCCGCTGGCGCCACAACCTGGCTGCCTACCGCAAAGCCCCATGGGGCAGAATGCGCGAGTTGCAACCAAAGTGCACCTCTCGGACGCAACGCTGGGAAAATAACAAGCCTGCGCAGAGAACATGGGAGCGCTACCTGGCCGACGCAGAACACACCGCCAGCAGGGGCCGTAGCAGACCCAGCTGCGCATGGCACCTCCCTGCCGGCCGGACCGTAGCGGACCCGACAGGGAAGCCCAGCTGGCCATACGTAGCGGACCCAGCTGGGCATGCAATGCGGAGAGCCCCTCCCCGCCGGCCGGACCGTAGCGGACCCAGCGGGCCGGACCGTAACGAACCCAGTTGGGCATGCAATGCAATGTGCCCCTCCCCGCCGGCTGGACCGTAGCGGACCCGACGGGGAGGCCCAGTTGGCCGGACCGTAGCGGACCCAGCTGGGCATGCGATGCAGTGCCCCCCGCCGGCCGGACCGCAGCGGCACACCAACGCCGCCCGAGCCAAGCCTCCCCATGGCCCGGCAGTGCCGCGGCACACCCCGCAGGGAGAGAGGAGGCACGCGCAGTGGACAGACCAATTCCTCCAGGAGCGCGCCCGCGTGGCCACGGCGAGCGTGGCGACGAGGAACGTGCCACCCCGCCCACGAACCGGGCGGCAAGCCACACAACACCGACGACACGCGCCGACACCGCCGCTCCTGATGGGAGCCAACCAGGCCATGAGGAAACCATGAAACTCCCCAAACGGACCAAACGACCAGTCGTGAGAGACTGCGGCCGAAACGCCGATTTTCCTCCCCTACGAAAGAAACTTTAGGGGGTAAAAAAAGGTTGCGCGCGCGTGCGAAATTTTAAGAACCCCCAGAAAGCGGTTCATCATTTTCAGAATATGCGACCAAACGAGCGTCGCGCGCGCATGTCGCAATCGTTCAAATGCCCTCGCGCGCGTGCCGTCGCGAGAATCATGTGCAACAGCTGGGGTAAATGCGCGCGCGCGTCATCGCGCGCGCATGCCGAAATCTGTCCAAAACGGTCGGTTTCGCCACGAATGCAAAACCGAGTGCCCAAACAACAAAAAACACACTTTGTGTCGCAACGACAATATTCTGTTTGCCAAAAGTTGCGCTCGCGCTCTTGCGAATTCTTACGAAAACCATTAGTTCTTACAACGTGCTCATGGAATTCAGCAAAACGGGCCTTTGCCACCGCATGCCGAAATCATTCGCACGCCCTTGCGCGCATGCGCGGTTGGAGGGAGGGCACGATCTGCGTCAAATAATACCACGCGGGCCACTCACCGTGTCTTCCGTTGTCGACATTACCATGAGACCACGCCCGCCCAAGTCGCCGACTCGCACTGAAGTGCCCGCGGGGCTGTGCCCAGCGGTCAGCGCCACCGCGGCCGCGTCGATCGCGACAAACTAGCTGCCCGCTGCGCTCGTGTGCTTGGGTTGGCGCGGTCGCAAAAATGCACCAGCCAACGGCAAGCACGAATCGCAATCGTCGTCGCATGGTTTTGCAAGCCAAGTTGCAGGTGGATGGGCGGGATGTTTGCAAAAACATGGATGTGTCGACTCGTTTGTAAAAATCAATTCTCCTCTGTTAAAAAAATTGACTCTACCCCCCCCGGCGTTACCCCCCCTTTCGGGGTATGTAAATTACAGATGATTATGACCACATGTCCACCCTAATTATGAGTTTACACTATCCCAGGGGGGCCGAGATCGACCTCCCTGATTTTCTTTTTTAGTATTAAAAAAACATACGCGGGAACATCTTTTGTTCTAACCTAAAACTGTGTCACGAGTCCCTCACAAAAAAAAAAAAAAAAAAAAAAAAAAAAAAAAAAAAAAAAAAAGAAGTGCACACGCGCGCGTCGTCGCGCGCGCATGCCGAAATCCTTCAAAACCTTCGATGTCGCAAGGATGTCGCAACCGAGTTTCCAAAACACATACAAAAACACAGGGTTTCACAACAGTGAGTTGCTAAAACAGCTTACGCGCGAGCTCTTGCGAAATCTTAAGAAAACCATGGGTTGATCAAGATTGTCACAAAATGCTACCAAACGGGCTTCGGGCGCGCGCGTGTCGAAATCTGTCGAACGCCCTTGCGCGTGTGCCGTCGCGAGAATCCCCTGCAAAAAGTGAACGAAGTGCAGGCGCGCGCGTCGTCGCGCGTGTATGCCGAAATCCTTCAAAACCCATCGGTTTCGGAAGGGTTTCAAAATCGCGTGTCCAAGGAAAACCTACCAAAACACAAGGTTTCGCAACACGGATTTTCAACAAAAGCGTGCGCGCATGCTCTTGCGTCGTCGTCGTCGTCGTCGTCGCCGTCCTCCCTCCTCCCGCGTCGTCGTCGTCGTCGTCGCCGACGTCGTCCTCTGTCTTTCCTCGTGTTCGTCGTCGTCGTCCTCTTTGGCGTCGTGGTCGTTTCCGTCGTCGTTGGGCGCAGTGGGCGTCATTCCTTCTCCTCCTCGTCGACTCGTCGTCGTCTTGCGTCGGCGTTTCGTATCGTATCCGTCCTCCTATTTCGTCGGCGGCGTCGTCGTTCGTCGATCGTCTTCCCTCCTCCCTTCGTCGTGGTCGTCGTCGGCTTCGACGGTCATTTCCTCCTTCTTCGTCGTTCGCGTCGTCGCCGTCCTCCCTCCTCCCTCGACGTTGTCGTCGTTGTCGTCGTTTTCGCCGTCGTCGTCCTCCCTCCTCCCTCGTCGTCGTCTTCGCTGGCGACGTCGTCGTCGTCTTCGTCGTCGTCGTCGGCGTCGGCGTCGTCGTCGTCTTCGTCGTCGTCGACGTCGGCGTCGTCGTCGTCGCCGCCACCGTCGTCGTCGTCGTCGTCGGCGCCATTGACGTCGTCGTCGTCGTCGGTGTCGTCGTTGTCGTCGTCGTCGGCGTCGTCGGTGTCGTCGTTGTCGTCGTCGTCGGCGTCGTCTTCGTCGTCGTCGTTGTCATCGTCATCGTCGTCGTCGGCGTCGGCGTCGGTGTCGTCGTCGTCGGTGTCGTCGTCGTCGTCGTCGTCGTCGTTGTCGGCGTCGTCAAAGTCGTTGGAGACGTCGTCGGTGTCGTCGTAGTCGTTGTCGACGGCGTCGTCGTCGTTGTCGCTGTCGTCGTCGGCGTCGCTGTCGTTGCCAAGTGCCATTTGGTACCCACCTTCACGGTCTTAAGAAATTTTGCAACCAAGTTGCGGGTGAGTGGGTGGGATGTTTGCGCGAGCAGTGGAGTTGACAACTTCAAGTTCGGCAAGTGAATTGCAACACATAGATTGCACCATTAGTATGCGTTACATCGATTGCACACTATATGAATTGTACTCTCATCGGCTGATTGAACACATTGTGTGGGTTCCACGCTGGCTAACCATTGAATGGTAACCATCGCGGACTCCCCCAAAAAACATGCATTGCTATATGCGCGGCGAAGTCTAGGTGGTGGAACCAATGTGGTGTCATCAAGGTGGTGCAATCCTTGTGGTGCGCTCCATGTGGCGCGAAGCAGCGCAATGCGATGCAAAGCAATGGACATCAACAAGAAGTAACGCAACGCAATGCCAAACAACCCTTTGCTACTGCAATGCAGCGCACTGCTAAGCAGAGCGGAGCAATGTAATGCGATGCGATGCGAAGCAAAGCAAAGCAAAGCAACGCGAAGTGCGATGCGAACGGGGTCGGTGCCACGGGGCGGCGGCCACGGACGGGAACGGGGCCGCCAGGCCCACACACGGGCCTTCCGTTAGGAAAAACATAGACGGCGACGGACGGGAACGGGGCCGTTGCGCCAACACACCGGCGCAGCTCCTTAGAAGGGAAATCAAGAGCCCCCAAGTGCAAGCACTGCTTGGGGAACGCGCCTGTGTGCGAAAGCTCGCCAAGCATCCCCACGTGCTTCCTTTGTCTGCGTCGGCGAGTCCAATGTGTTGTGTTTGTTCCTCTCTGTGGCGGGAGCGCGTGCGCATGCGGGGCGGGCACGGGGCGGGGGCGGCCGCTCCGGCTCGGCGCCCGCTGCCTGGGGCGGCTTCTCCCGGCGCAGGTTGAGTTCCTTCTCCTCGCTCGCCGCAGGGGTCGGGCTCCCTCCCTCCCATCCTCATCCCGGTCCTCCTCCCCGCTCCCCTCGCTCTCCTCATCGTCGTCATCATCGTCGTCGTCGCCCTCGTCCTCCTCCCCCCATCACACCGCTTCCAATTATAATACCTTTCTCCTGCCCCTCTCCTCCCCCGCCTCCCCGTCTTCCTCCTCCTCCTCCTCCTGTTCCTTTTCCTCCTCCTCCGCCGCCGCCGCCTCGTCCTTCCCCCAAAACGTTCTCCTCCTCCCCATCATCCCCTTCATCCTTCTCCACCTCCTCCTCCACCTCCTCCTCCTCCTCTTCATCTGCTCCTGCTTCTCCTCTTCCTCCTCATCATTTCCTTCCTCTCTTACCCCTCCTCCTCCTCCTCCTCCTCCTCCTCCTCCTCCTCCTCCTCCTTCCGTCTCTTCCTCCTCCTTCTCGTCGTCGTCGTCGTCCTCCTCCTCCTCCTCTTCACCCTCCTCCGCCTCCTTCTCCTCCTCCTCTCCTCCTCCTCTTCTCCACCCCATCATCCGCATCAACATCCACGTCATTAATCCTCCCGCTACTCCGCTTTTTCATGTCCTTTCCATGGGCCCTTCTTGGGCCCTTCTCTGTTCTCCTCATGCCACGGTGGCCTACGCTCAGGCCTTCGTGGCTTGGAGGCCGAAGACGGCATGAAATAATGTTACGGAACCTGGATTATTTCAAGACGTGGGATCTGTCAGGAGGGCACGGCCATCGTCACTGAAGCCGTCGGCGAGAGCCCTACCCCCCCCGAGTTGTCCAGGGTTGCGCACCGACCAGCAGATCGAAGCAAATCCAGCCGCGACGACGAGACGAGGGTGGCCTGGGAGGCCCAAGCACGCAGAAATCTTCCAGTTTGTCTCGTCGGCGTCGCCGCCCTGAGAGATAAGAAATAACAAATCGAAACTTGTTTTTCCACGGGCCCCGGCCTCTCCAGAACTACTGGGAAGCAGCGGGGCACTCTCCGTGTTGGCCTGCTGGGGCTAGGGCGCTGTCAGCGCCACCGAAGCCACAAAAATGGTCGACTGCATCAGCCGTGGAGATAAGTCGATATAGCCGTCCACCACCCCAACAAACCAACCAAGGTGAGACAAATGCTCACACTATCAAGCGAATCCCAAAACGAATTGTGGAAACGGTGCTCGCTGTACTGCCCAAGCAGGCCGGATTTCGGGTAACCTCCTAGAAATCGGCAGCACTTGCCACGAGATATGTCGAGAGACATTCTGGTTTTTTGAGAAGACCAGCGACACCCGTCTTTGCCCACACCCGATCAAAGGGGCACCTCACCCACAGGTTGCTTCCCTTTGGGATATGTTTGGCCACCGCGTGGTGCTCACGGAAGGGGGACGGGGCCCAAGCCTTGCAAGGTTGGATGGCAGATTTCGGAAAACTTTACCGTTCGAGGCGGAAGACGAGTACAGAGCGCGCTTCCACGCTGAGAGACCAGCTGGACGAATGTCTGCGCAAACGAGCTAGCTCAGCGATGGGCCACGCACAATGCACACTCCTCGGGTGATGCGACGTGGCTGCCTATGCTACGCCTAGGGCGGTATTCTTCCATATGGGTTTGTAATCGAACCTCCCGCATCTGGCAAACTTCGGGCCCTTGAGCATGCAAATGTCAAGCATGTCGATGCCTCTAGTTGACGCGCGAAGCACGTTTGGGACCCATCTGGGGCCGCTCCTAGCCAACCGACGCATGTCCATAATGTCCCCATACACGTGTCGATAAAAGCAAATATGCCATGTGTATAACTGGCATACTCGTGTATACTTGTTTCTCTGAGCCACGCTTTGTTGTCGGCTACGCCATGTTCGACATTGAAGAAAAACAGCATCTGTAACATCCCCAGAATAATGCATGCCCGTGCCCGAGCCGCGGATGACTTTACAGGCGCGGCCCGACGGAGCTCGAGTAGTTACGAACTCGTTGTCCAGGGGAAACGACGCCGCTTCCCCCGCTTCTGTTTGGAGATGCTCTGGTACCACGTGTTTGGCTCCAGCAGTCAATGTCCCAGCCTCGCCAGACGTGGAAAACATGCATGCAAATTATGATACGGTAAATTATGTCTGGGGAACCCGTGCTGTTTCACATCTCGATCAAATCCTCCGTACTGTTGGGTCTCTGCCGCTTCTTCTTGAGCTCTGTGCCCGATGATAAGCCTTTGACTGCATGTCCTCGTCGGGTGTGGGGTGCTCTGGTCGTGATCTATCCAGGGGGCATGTGTGTCTTGGGGGCCTCCCCGAAAGAACAATACAACCTCGGCTCTTCGCCCTCCAAGCTTTGCAATAATGGTTTACCATCCACCTGGTCATCAATGGTGCAGATCTTGTTGGCACTCGCGACATACGCGTTTACAACGTGTCTCCAAATTATGTTGAGAGGTGAAACCTCTTCATGAGACTGGATGAGCACGTCCTTGGCAACCAATGCGAAGCCTCCACCCTTACCTGTGCAGACAGGAAGGCACGAGAGGTCACGAAACTGCAGGCATGCTAATCGAATGGCTCCGTAAACGTTGGGCTATCTGGGTCTGCCACTGGCGCCGCTGAGGGTGAACTTGATGCGCCTGAAGATCGGCTATGTCATTGCATACAGCATTGAATATTTCAGGCGGCACAGGGCGTGGGAACACTTGGACACTAGTGGTGGTTGGCCGAGCTCGGAACGACCAAATAAAACGACGTGTCCCCTTTCAGTCGGGCATGCAATCTCCACAACAGCGTTCGACGAATGTGCTCAATCATCCTAGATGCGTCTGCCAACGTAGGTAAAGTTATCGGTGAAAACCGATGCTTGCGGTGGAATCGGGAGAGGAGGAAGGTAACGGGCCAAGGAACTTCGCCGAAGCCAGGATGCCTGCAGGAAGCTGCCGGCGCATCGAAAATATAGATTTGCCCCGGATGACTGTTGTCCAGGAGCCACTCCAGATCGCCGTCTTGATACACAAACTGTTCACTTGCCATTCCTCTAACCTCTTTTATTCCCTTTTCCTCCTCCTCCAGGTTGCCCTCCTTTGCCGCCGCCTTTCTTGCCGCCGCGAAGGCGTACCACAATCTCGTCGTGGTAGTTCTCGTCTGTACCTTTGCCATTCTTGTCGTGCTTGACCTTGCCTTTGTCTTTGCCTTTGCCTGTTCCTTTGGACTTGCCCTTGTCGCTCTTGGTGCCGTTGTTCTTCGTTGTTGCAGTGCCCCCAGGTCCCTTGTCAGGGCCTGGGGACGGGCCATTCCTTGGAACTGTATTGCGGTCTTCCTTGCGTCGGGACTGTTGGGATTTCGTGAACACACGTACTGGCCTGTTGCCAGATCTCTTGGCTGAGCTGTCAGTCGCGCGTTCCTCGGCAGTCGAACCGACATCATACCAAGCCCAGTCCGCGCGAGAAGGCTTTCCACTGACCGCCTGCTTCACGGCACCTGCGAGTCTCACGTGCGGCGGGGCCGCCATCAAGAACTCATTATCTTGTTGATATCCTGCTTCGCTGCCAGCTCCTCCTCTTTGGACTTGGCACGCGCTGAAGCCAATCGACGAAGCATGGAACGATACATCCCGATTTCCTCCTGTCGTGACAAAAAAGCCTCGTCATCAAATAGGCCTGGGGATAAGGCAAAAGCAGGAAGATGAAACTCACCTGTGGAGGCCGACTGGGCAGATCTGATCGCCGTTACCTCACTGACGAATCTGCTGAAGGCAATCTCATTCCCGAAAGCGTCGACTTGGGAGTCCAACGTTGTGAGATCCAGCCGCTTGTTGGTCAACGCGACCAGGTCATGCATGAAGTGCTTCGCCGTCCTGATGGTGAGCTCGTGGCTGTTAGTGTCCCCGTGCAGGGCATGCAGATCCGTGGTGCCACGTCGTAGGGCACGCATGTCTGCCGCCATGGCCTCAAGAGCATGATTTTCCAGCACAGGGACCTCGACCTGAGGCTTGAACTCCTGGACGTCTTTAGGCCACGAGCCGGCCTTGATGGTGTCGACGTGGCCTTTCGCACGGTCTCGTTTAGAGACCAGACTGTTGTACTTTTTGGTCATCCTATATTACCGTTCCGTCACGGCTTTCACTTGTGCCTTGATCTCGGGAGGAATGGTGGCATTGTCCAGGACGTCTGCCATGTCCTTCTCCAGAGGTCCACCTGGCGCGGATGGCTCCGCGAGCTATCTCTGCCGTCTCCTTGCCCCCTGATCATCATCTGCCCCTTGAAGGGCCACTGCTCGCACACTGCCGCCATCAACTTGTGTGCCATACAGGTCCGGCTCCATCGCTGCGCCGATGGACCCGCCTGTGGGCACGTGCCCTGACGCGTTCGCCATGGCTGCGAAAACACGTCGCACGTCACTTGTGTTGCAGAGAACCAAAAGCCCTGAGAGATAAGACGCGACGAATCGAAACTTGTTCTTCCACGGGCACCGGCATCTCCAGAGCTACTGTAAAGCAGCAGGGCACTCTCTGTGCTGGCCTGCTGTGCCTATGGCGCTGTCAGCGCCACCAGAGCCAGCAAGATGTTGGATCTCTCAGGAGGGCACGGCCGTCGTCGTTGCAGTCGTCGGCGAGGGTCCAGCCCTGCTCTCCCCCCCCCCGAATTGTCCAGCGTTGCGCACCGACCAGCATGTCGAAGCAAATCCAGCCGCGACGACGAGACGAGGGTGGCCTCGGGCGTTTCATCCCAAGTCATTGAGGTACCCAGAATCCCACCAGCCCTTTGGGCTAATGTGGTCTAAAGAAGTAGTCATTTATGCCCTCTTCCAAAACCCTCTTCCATTCCGGAAGGTTTCCGCCCCCTCCCTGAGGTTAATATGTTTTTTTTGGGGGGCGCGATCGGTCAGAGCGCCCAAGATGGTTCCAAGAAGGCCTCCAATGCTCCAAGATGGCCTCCAAGATGGGTCAATATAGCCGACGATAAATCAAGATAGCTTCCAGCATACCTCCGACGGGTCCGACGAGGGCCACAAGACGGTTCGAAGCACTTCGGAAGATCCCTCGGTACCCGCCAAGAGGCAAAACTCATTCAAAAACCAAAGGGAAATCAATGTTAGGTGGCTTCTCGCCGTTTCGCTTCCGATGCGCTTTTGAGGCCTCACGATTCGGGGGCGGACAAACATTGAATAGCGATCCGTGGATTTGGCGCGCGGTCGCCAAATCCATGGATCGGGGGAGGTCCCCTCCCAAAATGCGGCCCGTGCCGCCTCACTCGTCGGCGCAAGCCCGCGATTTTCCATGGAGACGGGACCCGTCGCTATTCCACGCCCCCTTGATACATGTTTGCGATTGCCTGAACGATGGCCCCAAGATGGCTCAAGGGGAACCACCTTGATCCATGTTTGCGACCGCCTGAACGATGGCCCCAAGATGGCTCAAGGGGAACCCCCCTTGATCCATGTTTGCGATCGCCTGAAAGATGGCCCCAAGATGGCTCAAGGGGACCCCCCCTTGATCCATGTTTGCGATCGCCTGAACGATGGCCCCAAGATGGCTCAAGGGGAACCCAAGGAAGGGACCACGAGGCCCCGCCAGACGGCCCCGAGAGCGCCCAGGAGCGGCCCAAGAGCGCCCCAACAGGGCCCCAGGTGATGCGATGTCGATGGCCCCGAGGTCGGGGGGGGGGTAAAATCGAAGACCGCCCCTTATGATCAGTTGCGTCCAAAATTGCCCAAACAGGCCCTCCATGGTTCCCAAGGGACTCCCAAGAGGGCTCCAAGAGGGCCCCTGCAGGGCCAGAAGACCCCGCAAAAGAGCCCCCCAAGAGAACCCCAATATTCCCCCAGAAAGTCCCAGGAGAGCTCCAAGAGGCGATTGTGAAGGCTCTGTCCTCGTCCTCGTTATCCTCCTCCTCCTCCTGATCGTCCTCGTCCTCGTCTTTCCTCTCATCGCCTTCCTTTTACCTTTCCTCCTCTTCCTCGTTGTCGACGTCGTCGTCGTCGTCCTCCTCCTCCTCCTCTTCCTCTTCATCCTTCCCTCGCCACCACGCGGGCCCCAGCGCAGGCCCCAAGAGGCCCTTCAAGGCCACCCCCCTTGCTCCCAGAGAGATCTATGTTAACCCTGTTTGCCAGCTTTGTTTCAATACATGTGTCTTTTCGTTCCTTTTCCTGTCAACTCTCATGGGCAAGGTTTGTGTTGGGCAGGTGGGAATACGCGAGGCGTGAAGGATTACTTCCTAAACAGAATAAACATCAGATCTCAACACTGGAAGTCTCTGTGTGCGTCCGTCGTCCGTCGTCCGTCGTCTGTCATCCGTCGTCATCGTCGTCGTCATCATCGTCGTCGTCCTCGTCGACGTCGTCGTCGTCATCGTCGTCGTCGTCGTCGTCGTCCGTCGTCGTCCTGGTCGTCGTCGTCGTCGGTCGCCGGTCGCCGGTCGTCGGTCGTCGTCGTCGTCGTCGTCGTCGTCGTCGTCGTCCTTGGTCGTCGTCGCCCGTTGTCCGTCGTGCGTCGTCCTTGGTCGTCGTCGTCGGCGTCGTCATCTTCGTCGTCGTCCGACGTCGTCGCCGTCGTCACCGTCGTCGTCGTCGTCGTCGGTCGTCGTCGTCGTCGTCGTCGTCCGTCGTCGTCCGTCGTCGGTCGTCGGTCGTCGGTCGTCGGTGTCGTCGTCGTCGTCGTCGTCGTCGTCGTCGTCGAGGGTCCTTCCGCACCCGAAGCGCCCGCTCGTCGCACAGCAGCCGCGCCAGCTCGTAGGCGCGCGCCTGGAGCTCCCCCCGTGCTGCTCCTCCGTGCGTCCCGCCCGCTGGGCCTCGCCCGCGGAGCCCCGCACGCGGCGATGGAGCCTGGACGCCCAGGCGGCCCACGACTGTTTCAGCCCCGCAGGCCGACCCTGGGCCGGGAACTCCGACGGGTGTGGCTGGCAGCGGGTATGGTTTGCATCGCGCGCCGTGGGGGGGCGGGCGAGGACCTCGACTCGGGGGCGCGCAAGCATGGAGTACGTAGCGATCCGTGGATTTGGCGCGCGGTCGCCAAATCCATGGGTCGGGGGAGGTGAACCCCCCGAAATGCGACCAGTGCCGCCTCGCTCGGCGGCGGAGATCCGCGATTTCCCATGGAAACGGGACCCGTCGCTAATCCACGCCCCCTTGATCCAAGTTTGCGATCGCCTGATCGGCAGAGTTCTCCGCCGAGGCCCGAGGAGGCCGGGCGAGGGCAACGCGGTGCTCCACCAAGCCCCATCGAACCAGATCCTAGATTACACCCAGGCGTAACCACAGCCTTTGCAGTCGTCGACTCGAGGGCCAGTGTCGGGCCCCGGGGCCATCAACAAAAATGAACCAGGGACGAACGACTACCGCTTGCGGAAGGGCGTCGAGACACCACCGGCCCGCGTTCTGAAGCAAACTCGATCCACCGTCATGCGGTCTGTCTGGGAGGATCGAAATCAATGTGCCGCCGCGCCGTTTGTCTTGAACGCGCCCAAGTGGACGTCGCCGACACGACGGCAAACCCACGGCAAGCCCTGCACCCCGCGCCCCAAATGGACGAAGCTGGCAACGCGGCAAGCCCCACGGCAAGCCCTGCGCCGGAGGCGGCGTTTGCCCTCGGGGCCGCTGCGCCATACCCAAGACGCAAGGCCGCGCGTCGGACCAAACGGCGCGGCGACATGTGCTTGAACGTTTTCGATCCCGTACGGGCCTCGGGGGCCTTCAGAGGCCCCCAGGGGACCTCTGGGGAGCGAGGTCGCCCGGTGGCCTCTGGGAGTCAGGAGCCGGAGCGCTGGCACTGACCACGCCCTCCTTGCCCCTTCTTGTCTTCCCAAGTCGCATCTCCCTCTGGCCCTGTCTCTTCCCTTCCCTTCCCCTCCTCCCCCTCCTCCTCCTCCTCCTCCTCCTCCTCCTCCTCCTCCTCCGCCTCCTCCTCCTCATCCTCCTCCAAGAGGGCTCACACCTGCGCGTCCCCTCCATGGCCATGGCTGCTCGCCTCCTTCTGCGGCATGGAGCCGGTATCCGTCCACCACCCTCGTCGTCGTCGTCTCGTCGCCTTGCTCCACCGACTGCGCCGACAGGCACGGGCCTCGACGCGATCATAAGGAGGACCCCCCCCCGACGCACCATGCCTTTCCGAGGGCCTCGAGGCGGCCGCACCTCCCCGCAGCAGATCTGCTATGTGTGGTCGCCCTCTGTGGCAACCGTGCGGGCCACATCGCCATATGGAAACCCATCGGTACGCTGGCCTCCCAGACTCCTGTCTCCAGGAGCAGTTTTCCCGAGTCCCAGAACAATCAAAAAAACTACCTAGGGCACAGCATTGCCCGCGGGATAGGGTCCAGCCAAGGGCCCCGCATTGAAACAACCACGACGCAACAAGGCTGGGTCTTGGAGACTGGCTTAACTTCGGCCTGACGGGCAAGGAAACTTGAGGCCGCCGAAGTGGGGTCCTTGTAGTGATGTGATGTCACTGCCATTCAGCGTCCCGCTCAAGACACCTCCAACCAACCTCCAGCTCGCATCGTGGACCTCTCCAGCTCGAGGAGGCTCGCCAGAACTGTTGGTGGTGGTGTCGCTTCTCCTTCATCCGACGCAAACTTCAACCGCAAAACATCAAACACGCAACCCCAAACACCAAACACACAACACCACACACACACCACCAAACACCGAAAACCGACGCCGACGACGATGGCGCCGACGATACTGCCCTCGGCATACTTTTGACGACCATGTTTTTTCCCACCATCCTGTGGTGTTAGGTCCTCGTTTTGAAGAGACAGCGCCCCGCGTCACCTCCTCCTCCTCCTGCTGCCTCCTCCCCTGCCTCCTCCTCCTCCTCCTCCTCCTCCTCCTCCTCCTCCTCCTCCTCCTCCTCCTCGTCACCATCAGCATCCCACCCACTTTGGCACACCCCTCACACGGTTCGTGGCCCCACAGGGAGCTCCACCGAAAGCCCCAGTGGCACAGGCCGCACGCGGGGACCGCCACCCACTTTTGCACACCCTTCACGCGGGTCGTGGCCCCACAAGGATCTCCACCGAAAACCCCAGTGGCACAGTCCGCACGCGGGGACCGCCACCCATTTTGGCATACCCCTCACACGGTTCGTGGCCCCACAGGGAGCTCCACCGAAGGCCCCAGTGGCACGAGCCGCACGCGGGGACAGCCACCCATTTTGGCACACCCCTCACACGGTTCGTGGCCCCACAGGGAGCTCCACCGAAGGCCCCAGTGGCACATGCCGAATGCGGGGACCGCCACACAATTTGGCACACCCCTCACACGGTCCGTGGCCCCACAAGGAGCTCCACCGAAGGCCCCAGTGGCACATGCCGCATGCGGGGACCGCACATGCCGCATGCGGGGACCGCACCCATTTTGGCACACCCCTCACACAGTTCGTGGCCCCACAGGAAGCTCCACCGAAGGCCCCAATGGCACAGGCCGCACGTGGGGACCGCCACCCATTCTTGTACACCCCTCAAAGGGTTCGTGGCCCCACAGGGAGCTCCACCGAAGGCCCCAAAGGCAAGGGCCGCACGCGGGGACCGCCACCAATTTTGGCACACCCCTCACACGGTTCGTGGCCCCACAGGGAGCTCCACCGAAGGCCCCAGTGGCACATGCCGCACGCGGGGACCGCCACCCATTTTGGCACCACCGCTCACACGGTTCGTGGCCCCACAGGGAGCTCCACCGAAGGACCCAGTGGCACGGGCCGCACGCGGGGACCGCCACCCATTCTTGTACACCCCTCAAAGGGTTCGTGGCCCCACAGGGAGCTCCACCGAAGGACCCAATGGCAAGGGCCGCACGTGGGGACCGCCACCGATTTTGGCACAACCCTCAGACGGTTCGTGGCCCCACAGGGAGCTCCACCGAAGGCCCCAGTGGCACGGGCAGCATGCGGGGACCGCACACATTTTGGCACACCCCTCACACGGTTCGTGGTCTCACAGGGAGCTCCACCGAAGGACCCGGTGGCACGGGCCGCACGCGGGGACCGCCACCCATTCTTGTACACCCCTCAAACGGTTCGTGGCCCCACAGGGAGCTCCACCGAAGGCCCCAATGGCAAGGGCCGCACGCGGGGACCGCCACCAATTTTGGCACACCCCTCACACGGTTCGTGGCCCCACAAGGAGCTCCACCGAAGGCCCCAGTGGCACGGGCAGCATGCGGGGACCGCACCCATTTTGGCACACCCCTCACACGGTTCGTGGCCCCACAGGGAGCTCCACCGAAGGCCCCAGTGTCACGCGGGCCGCACGCGGGGACCGCCACCCATGTTGGCACACCCTTCACACAGTTCGTGGCTCCACAGGGAGCTCCGCCGAAGGCCCCAGCGCATGCGGGGACTGCTACCCATGTAGGCACACCCCTTACGCGGTTTGTGGCCCCACAAGGAGCTCCACCAGAAGCGGTGGTACCCACAATGCGGTACCCGCAGCTGCATATGGTTGGGTTCAGGCTAATTCTTTACTGGGTCGCCAGAACGACCCGGCCCCTTCTCTGGGGACAGCTTTTCGTCCCGAGTTACTTTCTGACGGCCTGGGTTTCAGAAACTGCCCCGGAGGGTAGAAAACTTCGAAACAACTCGTCTTGATGTTCATCTCGTCGGCATGCCTACGCCATCCCGCCGACGACGACGGCAACGGCGCGCGGACGCCGACGTCGTCCACGATGCTACCTATGCCAACGCCAAGGCCGACGCCAACGACGCCGAAGCCGACGCCGACGACGAGACTGCCTTCCGCAGACCTCTGATGCCGCATTGCGGTGGTGCCATCGTTATGCGGGGCCCACAGAAGTCCCGACCCCCTCCCAGGCAACATGGTTTCGTGGCGAGTTCCGAGCCGTTTCCCGACGGCCCTCAGGGCCGAGAAGCGGCCTCCACTGGAGGGCGAAATCAGCGAAAGACAACGCCGGGCTCTTTTTCGTGGACTTCGAAAGCCTCTGGAAGCCTCCACAGGCCCAACCAGGAGGCCACTGAAGTACGTAACAAACAGGTTTGACCCCCATCCCCTTATGTCCCCACATGCTTCGTGGGGTTCTGGTTTTCTTCCCTGCCGCGCCGCACCCGCGTCTCCTCACACCTCCCCTCCTCTCTCTTTCTTCCTCCCCTCACTCACACACACACGCACTTCACTCTTCCCCCCCTCGTCACAGCAGTGCTCAGCTCAGCTCAACTCACCTCAGCATAGCACAGCACAGCTCAGCTCAGCTCAGCACAGCACAGCTCGGCTCAGCCCAGCACAGCTCAGCACAGCCCAGCACGGCTCAGCTCAGCACAGCACAGCACAGCTCGTGGCACTTTCTCGACACCACAGGGGGTGCGCAGGGGTTGGTCTCTCAGCTCGGCCGCTACCCACGACACTGGCGCAAAACCTAGCAGGCGTGGCACTCTCTCGACACCAAAGGGGGTGGGCAGGGGGTGGTCTCTCAGCTCGGCCGCTATCCACGACACTGGCGCAAAGCCTAGCAGGCGTGGCACTTTCTCGACACCAAAAGGGGTGCGCAGGGGGTGGTCTGTCACCGCGAAGCCTAGCAGGCGTGGCACTTTCTCGACACCACAGGGGGTGCGCAGGGGGTGGTCTCTCAGCTCGGCCGCTATCCACGACACTGGCGCAAAACCTAGGCAGCGTGGCACTTTCTCGACACCAAAGGGGCGTGCGCAGGGGTGGTCTCTCAGCTCGGCCGCTATCCAACGACAGTTGGCGCAAAAGGCCTAGAGACGTGCACTTTCTCGACACCACAGGGGCGTGCGCAGGGGGTGGTCTCTCAGCTCGGCCCCTATCCACGCATGGCGCAAACCTAGCAAGCGTGGCACTTTCTCGACACCACAGGGGGTGGGCAGGGGTGGTTCTCAGCTCGGCCCGCTATCCACGACACTGTCGCAAAGCCTAGCAGGCGTGGCACTTTCTCGGCACCACAGGGGTTCCGTGGAGCCACACGGGGTGGTCTCTCAGCTCGGCCGCTATCCACGACACTGGCGCAAAAGGCTAGCAGGCGTGGCACTTTCTCGACACCACGTGGCATTTCGACACCAAATGGGGTGGGCAGGGAGGTGGTCTCTCAGCTCGGGCCGCTATCCACGACACTGGCGCAAAGCCTAGGCCAGGCGTGGCACTTTTCTCGACACCACAAGGGGGGCGCAGGGGGTGTGCGCTATCAGCTCGGCCGGATCACGACACTGGGCGCAAAGGCTAGAAGGCGTGGCACTTTCTCGACACCACAGGGGGTGCGCAGGGGTGGTCTCTCAGCTCGGCCGCTATCCACGACACTGTCGCAAAGCCTAGGCAGGCGTGGCACTTTCTCGACACCACACAGGGTGCGCAGGGGGTGGTCTCTCAGCTCGGCCGCTATCACGACACTGGCGGCCAAACCTAGCAGCGTAGGCCTCTTCGACACCACAGGGGCCGGTGGGCAGGGGCTGTGGCTCCTCAGCTCGGCCGCATCCACGACACTGGCGCAAAGCCTAGCAGGCGTGGCACTTTCTCGACACCACAAGGGGGTGCGCAGGGGGTGGTCTCTCAGCTCGGCCGCTATCCACGACACTGTCGCAAAACCTAGCAGGCGTGGCACTTTCGCGGCACCACAGGGGGTGCGCAGGGGGTGGTTTCTCAGCTCGGCCGCCATCCACGACACTGGCGCAAAGCCTAGCAGGCGTGGCACTTTCTCGACACCAAAGGGGGTGGGCAGGGGGTGGTCTCTCAGCTCGGCCGCTATCCACGACACTGGCGCAAAGCCTAGCAGGCGTGGCACTTTCTCGACACCACAGAGGGTGCGCAGGGGGTGGTCCCTCACCGCGGCCGCTGGCTGGCTCGAATCTGTCCTCGATGGAGGATAGAAGGCTAGGAAGAGGGAGGAGGTTCAAGCAATATGGCGTTGGATGACACAGAGGGGAACATTCGCGACGAGGGCTGAGAACGCAGAATTGCGCATATATGATAAACTTAAGCAAGCACACAATATTTAAATTAAGTATGTGGGGTTCCTCGGTAGCGTAATTGACTTTGTCAATCCGCGGCCCCAGAGGTCCCGACCTCTTCCCAAGCCCAGGATCAATGTGTGATGGTCCCGGGGACGAAACACGGCCAAACAAGTCTGATCCCCCTCCTCGTCCACCGCCGCCGCCACCGCCGCCGCCGCCGCCAGAGCCGCCGACGACGACGCCGACGCCGCCGCCGACGACGACGACGACGACGACGACGACGACGACGACGACAACGACTCGACTGGGGAAACCGACAGGTATACCGATGCCGCTACTCCCCAGACCTCGGGAGCGGCCAAGAGGGGGGTGTCCAAGAGGGGGGGGGGGGGGGGGGCAAATCATGGCCGGCGGCATGTGCGCGGCCCAGCGGGGGGGGCCAGGGACGTAATGGAATAAGAAGAGGCGCCGTGAAATCTGGGGAAATATCATGGCCCCCGCCATGATATCCCCCCCCTATAGTCATCACCCCCCTCTCTGCCGCCCCCGAAGACCTCTCCCGGGGTGCGCTCTGACCAGAACTCTTCCAAGCGCCCGCCACGGTGGCGGGCCGCCCAGGAGGCACAAGAAGAGGGGAGAGCGAGAGCAGGGCAGCAGCACGGGCTCCGCTTCCTCCCCCGGGTCCTCCTCCACCGCCGGCGGCGACGACGACCCGCCTGCCGTGAAGTCGGGCGTGTCCCTCTACAGAAGGAAGGTTCAAACATATTCGAAAAATAATATGGGGACGTTTTTTGTTTGTTCGGTTTTTGCATAAACAAAAGGCACAATATATATATATATATATATGTATATATATATATGTTTATTATAGATATGGGCATGTGTGGTAAACTTGAAACTATGTTTGCCTCTTGGGCCGACATCTGCCTGTAGAGGGGGGGCATGCCCGACCCAAGACTGCCGTCCGCCCCCCCGGGGCGCGCCGAAGTCGTCACCTCCGGCGCCATCCTGGCACCCGCAGGGCGCCACGTGCGCCGCGGCAGCGAGCGAGGCGGACAGGCCGCCCCGGGGAAGGCCTCCGGCTGCGCGCCCTCTGCTGCGTCTCCTCTGTGCTTGAAGGGGGCCCAGGGACACATACACACACACAGCACACACACATAAATACACACAAATCCCAGGAGTGCCCCATATCTTTTCCCATATGTTCGGGGTTTTTGCCCCCCCCCACTTCCCAGATTTTCCCCTTTATGTTCCCGGGAGTCGACGATGGATTCTGTCTGTGTGTGCTTCTTCCCCTCCCGAGTGATGGCGGCGCGCACACGGGGGGGTAGGAGGATGTGCAGTTCTCCCAAAACCAGCGCTCCTCGCGGCCACGCGCGGTTAGCATAATGTCCTCCGGTGTGCTGTCGTCCAATCACAACGAGAGTTGCCGTCTCGACTCTGCGTCGGAAATCTGGATGCCGGATGCAAGCTGCTAGCCATGAGCCTGCGCGCCCTAGAGGGTAGGGGGAGAGAGGGAAGGCTTCTCGGAAGGATGCTGCTTCATAAAGGCGCTGGCCCTACACCTACTGACAAGGCCCGCGCCTCTAAGAGGAGGGGGTGCTTCTGGGAGGCCTTCCCCCCTCCTGACTGCCTACCAGACCACCCCAACCCAACCCGCAGACCCGAATTTCGCCGGAGTTTCGGGATGGAGGGGGTACAAGTTCCACGTGTGTTTTTGCCAACGTTCCCCGACCCCCCACTCTGGGAACGGAAAGCACATCAAAGCCTTCGGGTTGGGTTGGGGTGGCTTGGTGGGCGGCGACCTCCCCCCTCTGCGCGCGGCTGACTGTGGGCCCCGGGGAGGCCCGAGACGCTGGGACCCCCCGAAGGCCCGAGCCAGCGTCGCCGCCGTGTCGAAGCGGCGCCCCTCTGCCGGCCGCGGTCTTCGCCCGCAAGTCTTAGGTCGGGCCTGTCCCCCTACAGGGGGATTTTCGACGAAAAATAAAAAAAACAAAAAATAATCCAAAAATAGTATGGGGACTATTTTTTGTTTTTTGCATTTTTCAGCCTTCTTGGGGTATTTTTGTAGTATTTTCTATTTTTCGTCGAAAATCCCCCTCTAGGGGGACACGCCCGACATAACGCAAGTCGATCCCAAAATCCCTCCCGGACAGCGCTCGCGAGCCGCGCCGGCCTTGGCCGCGAGGGCCCCCCCCCAAGACGAAGCCAGGAGGAGCATAGAATCGGGTGAAGATAAACCGAGGGTCTCTGAGACCCGACGGCTCTGGAGCACATCTCAGGCGCCGCGGCCCTCTCAGAGCGTTCGGGAGCACTCTGAGAGCGTTCCGGAGAGCTCTGGAACGGATTCATCATTTATCCTCGTCCTAGCCCCGCCCAGCCCCCCCTCCAAGGGCCCGGATGTCTCTCACAGCGCAAGGCAACTGAACGTCTCACCCTCAAGCACTATATATCACCACAGCGAAGCTGCTCCACAACGTGAGACGGAGGAAAGCAGGGATGGCCGCCGAGCCGCGATGTCGACGAGCCTTCCCCCAAGGCCCAGAGGAAGGCCGTCGATTCTCAGATACCGTCCAGACCGGCCCTTCGAGCCGCGTCCGTCCTCCTCCTCCTCCTCTTCCTCCTCGGGGTCCTCCTCCTCCTCCTCCTCTTCCTCCTCCTCCAGCTCCTGCTCCTGCTCCTCCTTCTCCTCCTCCTCCTCACCGAGGAGGGGACCGCCCCGGAGTCCAAGGACGGGCCAGCAAAAGAGTAGAGGCGACCAGCGCCTTGCGGGGAGGCACTGGTGGTGAGACGGGGATCCCCAATCTTCCACCGGGGCACCGGCGACAGGACCAACATCCGTCAAAGAGGCGGCAGGAAGAGACAAAGACGGGGAGAGAGGAGGGAGACAGGCAACATCCGGAGGCATAGAGGAGCAACAAACCGCCTACAAATGATTGAGCTGTTGGAGGTCCGCGCGGAATTCTTGGATCTGCGCCGGGCCCCCGCCGCGCGGAGCGCGCCGGTGGCAGCGGAGCGCCGAAAGCTCACGTCGTACCTTCTCAGATTGCTCTTCTTCGTCGTAAGTTTCTTCGTCTTCCTCTTAACTCGCCTTAAGTATGTTATTATTATTCGTCTTGATTTTCTTACTCTTATTATGTTTCTTCTTCTTCTTCTTCTTCTTCTTCAATCGAAGCGTGGCCGCCACAGGGCTCCAGAGCAGATCCAAGAGATCCGCGCGGGCCGTCCAACATTTGCGTCTGTGCCGTGCTTCCTCTCCGAGGGCACCGCCGTGCCCGCCGGGGGGTCGGCACGGGTCACAGGGGCACATCAACCTGCACGCAGGAGAAGGAGGCGGAGAAGGGGGAGGAGCAGAAGAAGAAGAAGAAGACGAAGAAAAAGGTGGCGGAAGAGGAGGACAGGCAGGGGGAGGAGGAGGAGGAGGAGGAGGAGGAGGAGGAGGAGGAGGAGGAGGAGGAGAGGAGGAGGAGGAGGCGGAGGAGGAGAGAAGCGGAGGAGGAGGAGAGAGGAGGAGGAGGATGAGGAGGCACAAGGAGGAGGAGGAGGAGGAGGAGGAGAGAATGAAGAGGAGGAGGAGGAGGAGAAGGAGGAGGAGGAGCGAGTGAGGAAGGAGCAGAGGAATAAGAGCGCTCTCGTCATCGTCGCCGCCGCCAGCCGCCCCCTGCCCCGGACCGCTGCCGCCCCGCGAGGAGGGGGGGGGGGGGCGCCGCGGTCCTGGGCTGCCCTCAGGGGGCGGGCGCCGCCGCGGTCCTGGCGCGCCCTGCCCCGCGCATGGCGGGCCGCCGGGGCGCGCGCGGCCCCCGGGCGGCGCAGGCCGCGCGCTGGAGGCCGGCTCCCCGGGCGCAGGCCTCCGCGCGCGCGGGGGCGGCCAAAGAGGGGGGGGCGGCCAAAGAGGGGTGGGCCCCCGCCCCCCCAGCAGTGCCCGCTCTCGCGCGGGCTTTGAAAGCGAAGAACACGATGCCGGGTGTCCCAGTTCGGGGGCGTCCAAGAGGGGGGTGTCCAAGAGGGGGGGGGGCGCAAAGCATGGCCGGCGGCATGTGCGCGGCCCTTTGGGGGAGGAGCAGGGACGTAATGCGACGAGAAGAGGCGCCGTGACATCTGGGGAAATATCACGGCCCCCGCCATGATATCCGCCCCCCCTTGTCGTCACCCCCCTCGTTGCCGCCCCCGACGCGTGCTTGCACGCGTGGCTGATCTCGCGCCCGGGGTTGCTCGCTCTCTCTCGCTCTCGCTCTAGGTGTGGGCCCTGGCCCCGGGGCCCAAAAAGAGTGAAGGGGGCCCAGGGGCACACACAACTAAACAGGCACACATCCCAGGATTCCAAAATTGTAAAATGTTTTCTCGGTTTTCGTCTCCCCCTCCCCGCACTGTCCATAGTTTCGTATCTTTTCGCGGGAATCGACGATTAATTGTGTTTGTGTGTTGTGTTCCCCTCCAGGAGAGATAGAGAGAGAGGGGACAAACAAATTAAAAAGATAGATAGATAGAGAGAGAGAGAGAAAGAGCAACCCCAGCAGCACACCTCGAGGCGAAGACGAGGCGCCAGGGCAGCTGTATGGATTCCCCTTCCTCATCTGACTCTCTCCCTCTCTCTTGGCGGCGCGCACCAGGGGCTGGAGGGAGGGGGGAGGGCCTCTTCGAAGGAGGCTGCTTCTTAGAAGGCGCCGGCCTGACAATCTATCTATCTATCTATATATATATATATATATATATATATATATATATGTAAGGTCCGCGCCCTCTAAGAAGCAGGGGTGCTTCTAAGAAGCCCTCCCCCCTCCCCGCACCCTCCTCTGCGCAGGGCTGGCTCTCTCTCTGGGCCCTGGCCTCGGGGCCCAAAGAGCCTCCCAGGCTGCACAGCCGTCGCCCCCGCGCGCGCGATGGCACGCCAGGCTGCACCCCTGTCGCCTCCGCCCGAACGGCTCGCAGCTGCACGGGCGGAGGCGACAGGGGTGCAGCTTCGAGGGGCAACGACACGGGGGGGGGCTGGCCTATAGGGGGGGATGCATCGGCCTGGAATCGGCGCCACATCGCCGATAGATCGGCGATGGGCCCCCGATGGTGAGTGCGCACCTCCCTGTGCGGGTTGGGGCCATCGGGCCCCGAATCGGCGATCGATGAGCGATTGGGGGTCGATGCGTCCCCCCCTGTGCCTATCACCCCCCATATTGAGCAGGGGCCGACCGTCCCGGCATTCCTATAGTCCTACCACGAAATGTTGTCAGAACCCAAGATCTGTTCTAAGAGCAAAAACGATGTTCTTAGAACATAAGCCCGATGTGCTAAAACAAGACAGTCTCGGCCAGACATATTCTGAGCACATGTCGTGGAAAAGGTTCTTTGAACATTCTCTGGTAGGCCCATAGGCGAGCCAGGACGCTTCGCCACTGCTTCACCTGTGCCTATCCCCCCAGGGTCCCTCCCCCCATATCGTTGCCCCCGAAGCTCGGCGTGGAGCTGCTCCGGCACAGCGCCGGCGCCGCCCGGCGGACGGGCTGAGGGCTCCGCGCCGGGGGACGTCCGCGGAGCCAGCTGCGCGAGCGAGCGGCGGGCCGCGCGCGGAGGCTCTCCCGCCGCCGCCCCATCGCCAGGCCGCGCCCGGCCCCGCCCGTCCTCTCCCTATCCTCCTCCTCCTCCTCCTCCTCCTCCTCTCCTTTGTCCTCCTTCCTCACTCCTCCTCCACCTCCTCCTCCTTCTCATCCTCCCTCTTCCTCCTCCTCCTCCCTCTCCTCCTCCTCCTCCTCCTCCTCCTCCTCCTCCTCGCCTCCTCCTCCTGTCCTCCTCTCCTCCTCCTCATCCTCCTCCGCCTCCTCCCTCCTCCTCCTCCCTCTCCTCCTCCCCCCTTCCCCTCCTACCTCCCCTCCTCCTCCTCTCTCTCTCCTCCTCCTCCTCCTCCCCTCCTTTTACTCCTTCCTTTCCTCTCTCCTCTCCTCCTCCTCCTTCCCCTCCCTTGTCTCCTCCTCCTCCTCCTCCTCCTCCGCATCCTCCTCTCCTCCTCCTCCTCCTACCTCCTCCCCTCCTCCTCCTCCTCCTCCTTCCTTCCTACTCCTCCTCCTCCTCCTCCTCCTTCCTCCTCGCATCCTCCTCCTCCTCCTCCTCCTCCTCCTCCTCCTCCTCCTCCTCCTCCCGCCCGTCCTCTTCCATTCCTTCTCCTGGTAAGTTCGGCGGCGCCGGGGGAAGTCCGCGGAGCCAGCTCCGCGAGCGAGCGGCGGGCCGCGCGCGGAGGCTCTCCCGCCGCCGCCCAATCGCCAGGCCGCGCCCGGCCCCCCTCCTCCTCCTCATCTCCTTCCTCCGCCTCCTGACGCCGCCTCACACGTGTACTCCGACTCACGACTATCGCAGGGGGGGTGAATACTAATACCTCAGCGGCCTCAGCAGCACTCCCCTCCGCAGCAGTCATACCTACCGCCTCCCTCTCCTCTAATCCTTTCCCTCTCCCTCCTCCTCCTCCGCCTCCTCCTCGTCCTCCTCCTCAGCCTCCTTTGTCCTACTCCTCTTTGTCCTCCTCCTCCTCCTCCTCCTCCTCCTCCTCCTTCTCCTCCTCCTCTCCTCCTTCCTCCTTCCTCTCCTCCCTCCTCCTCATTCCTCCTGCCCCTCTTCTGCTCCTCCTCCTTCTCCTCCTCCTCCTCCTCCTCCTCCTCCTTCTCCTCCTCCTTCCGCCCGTCCTCTTCCATTCCTTCTCCTTGTAAGTTCGGCGGCGACGGGAAGGGCGAAGAGCCCAGGGGTGGGCATTACACGCGTTCGCTGGGGGGCCTCGCCGAAGACATGGGTCATCGGCGCCACTGGACACACGTGTTTCTCCCCCCTGGGCTATTCGCCCCGATCGTCGCCTCCGATAAGTAACCCCTCCCTGTCGGGGCACCTGCCAGCAAAGCGAGCGATGCGCGCAGGGGCGGCTGTCGAACACCCCTCCCTGGGTGATCGACGGCGGCAAATTCCCTCCCGACCAACCCCCTCCGGGCGATGCTCGGGAGAGGTGGCGAGGAGCATCCCCGCCTGGCGCCCCGAGGCGCCTCGGCAGGGCGGGCCGGGCGCCTCGCACGGGAGCTCCTCGCCGGCTCTGTTCCTGAAGCTTGGTACGCGCCTTCCGTAACCTCCTCCTCCTCCTCCTCCTCCTCCTCTTCCTCCTCCTCCTCCTCCTCTTCCTCCTCCTCCTCCTCCTCCTCGATGCTCGAGGTCACGGAGGGAGGGCGGGCCGTTCTCAAAGAGGTGGCTCTCGCCTCGACGCCGCGCGCACCAGGTGCGCTCCTGGCGTCCGCGCCGCGCACACCCGCCCTGCGAGCCTGCAGGCGCTCCGCGGACGGAGGGCGGGCCGTGCTCACAGCGTGGCTCTCGCCGCGACCTCGCGCATGCTCGCCCTGAGGCTTGACAGCGGCTTCAGGGATTCTTGTGGTCGGCGTCCCCAACATGGTGTTTTTGGCACGACGTGGGATTGCCAGGGCGCAACAGACACGTTGATCCGCGGTGTTGTCGTCCCAGAGATGGCGTTCCGGCGCGATTCAGGACCGTCCAGAAGCGACAGCAGCGTCGACACGCGGCGCCGAAGTCCCAGGAGCTGTGTGTTGGCACGGCTCATGTTTTTGAGACGACTGTCTTCCAACGGGGAACTTGGAGGGAGGGATGATTGCGACATCGTTCTGTGAACCTTGGGTTGAAACTGTGCGCTGGCACCGCTCATGATTTTGAGATGGTTGTATTCCAACGGGGAACTTCGACGGAGGATTGACTGCGACATCGGTGGTGAGTCCTGGGCTTAAACTGGTCCTCCTCCACCCCTTTCCTCCCCCGCGGAGCTTCGGCGTGCGGCCGCGGCCGCGAGGCTCAGCGGAGCGACCCTTCGCCGTCGGCCTTGCGCGTTCCTCCTCCTCTCCCTCCTCCTCCTCCTCCTCCTTCTCCTCCTCTTCCTCCTCCTCCTCCTCCTCCTCCTCCTCTGGCGGCTTTGCGCGATCCAACGCTCTTCGTTTTGGGGCCAGCGCAACTCCCAGTGCACATCCACGGGCCTGGGATCAGCCGCTGCCGAAAGCCCGCACTCCTCCTTCTAATCCACGGACCGTCGAAGATCTACGAAAGGTCGAATTTGCTTTGGGGACATTTCATTTGTGCCCTACCATCCTGTGTTGTTGGGTCTTCGTTTTAGATCCGCACCGCAGTGCCCCGCATCTCTGATTCCGCCTTCCCCTCCTCCTCCAACTCCCCCTGCCGACCCTGCTCTCGGTGTCACATTCCTCACGTTTCGGTACCCCATGGAGAATTCAAACGAAAGCGCACACGCCAGGATTCGCATGGCGGCGCCGCCGAATTTCGGCACATCCTTCACACGTTTCGTGGCCATATCTGAAACTCCGACTACCGCCCAAACGGCAGGGTTCGCGTGGCAGTGCCGCCTCGTTTCGGCACACCCCTCACACGTGTCGTGGCCCTCAGGGGCGAAACCGAAGGCCCCAGCGGGCAGGGTTCGCATGGCGGCGCCGCCTCGATTTCGGCACACCTTTCCTACGCTTCGTGAACCTGCACCGCAGGCTCCAGCAACAAGACTCGCACGGCGGCGCCGCACCCATACCGCACATCGGGACAACCCTCGCACGCCTCGCAGCCCCACATGGAGCTCCACAACGGGCCCCAATGGCAGGGTTCGCATGGCGGCGCCGCCTCCGTTTCGGCACGTACCTCACACGTCTCGGCTCGGGTCTTCTGACCCGGGTCAATCCAGACCCGGGTCAGCAGGACACCAACAACTGCAATGCAGGAACAAAAAACTGCAGCGCATGGCTTCGCAAACCCGGGTCAGCCAATAGGCGCGGCCGCCCCGCGGCCACGAGCGGCTCGCTAACCCGGGTCAGCCAGAGGGGGTCTTCGCAAGATCCTGCAGGATCCGGTGCGCTGGCTGACCCCCGTTTGCTGTGACCCCCGATCGGCCCCTCCACCGAAGGCCCCGGTGGCAGGGTTCGGAAGGGCGGTGCCGCACACATTTCGGAACACCCCTCACGCGCCTTTTGGCCCCGTAAGGAGCTCGCTCTTTGGTCCCGTAAGGAGATCCCCTTTCTTCGTCCCACCTTCCTAGCAGCAATCACGCCTGCATATCGCTGGGTTCTTTGCCAGGATAATTGTCTCCTCCTCGTAATCGTCGTCGTCCTCCTCGGATCCTCGATCCTCGAGCAAAACTGAAATTTTACAGGGCGTGTTGATACCTTGTCGTGGGGGCTGGGAGGCCTCTGGGGAACCTGGGCCTCCTGCTGGGGCCTCCAGAGAGACCTACCAGGACCCACTGCTCCGGCGTCACATGAGTAGAAGCCCGGTACGGCCTGTTCTTCGCCGTTCTGGGCCTGCTACTAGAGCGAGCGCGGCTGTTGGCAGGAGCTTATGGCAGTTGATTTTTGTTGAACGCCACACATTTCCCGATCACCAAGAGGTTATCATAGCTCCATGCGTCGTCTTTTCATGGCGCACTTTCTTCCCTGACTACCAAAACTTTTCCTGAGCGCCTTACATGTCAAAGTCAAAGGGAGCCAAAGTCATTTTCCTGAACGCCTTACATGTCTTACATGTCTAAACGAACGCCAAAGTCAAAAGGGAGCCGTGCGATTTACATCAGTACGTAGTGTAGACTAGGTGGCTTGCGCGAAAGACCTGTGTGAGCAGGGTAGCAGGGACAGGCACACATAAGCCCGAAGTAGGTCCCCTGCACGCCCCAGTTGGAGCCCGCCTGAGGCTTCGGAACCGTCGGGAAACGATCGGAGACGAAAACCTGGCCAAGGGAAAAGGCGTCGAGACAAGCGTCGGGAAAACAGCGAATTCGCATGCCACATTCATCGGTTAACGCCTCCCCCTCCCCCCATATGTTAAAAATTGGCAGTGGGTCTCTTGAGTTGCACTTCGACCGCCGTCTCCCCCGCGCGTGCCAACTTTGAGATTGGGGGAGCGGGGGGGGATAAGGAGGAGGAGGAGAGCAGCAGCAGCAGCAGCAGCAGCAGCAAGAAAACAAGAAGGATGCTCAGGAGGAGGAGGAGGAGGAGGAGGAGGAGGATAAAGGAGGGAGAAGGAGGAGGGGAGCAGGAGGGGAGCAGGAGGAGGAGGAGGAGGAGGAGAGGAGGAGGAGGAGGGAGAAGAGGAGGAGGGGCGAGAGGAGGAGGAGGAGGAGGGAGGAGGAGGAGGAGGAAGAAGGAGGAGGAGGAGGAGGAGGGGGAGGAGGAGGAGGAGGAGGAGGAGGAGGAGGAGGAAGAGGAGGAGGGGTGTACATCCAGACCTCCAACGCAGCGCTGCTTCTGTCCCCGAGCTTGTCCTCTTTACTACGGCCTCCGGAGATGCCGAAGTCTCGGGCCCCGCGGCCCGCCGAGAGGTGGCTGCGATGGGTCTGGGGCACACGGACTGAAGCATCCGTCCGCCGGGGGCCTGCTCGGGGCCTCGGGAGGGGAATACGGTCAAACCGCACTGTGAGGATGGGCACCCTCTTTCCAAGGGCACCCTTGCATCCCTGCCTCCTCGAACCCCCCCCTGGGCCACTGTCCTTGGCCGCGCCCCGCTGCGAAAAGCCTCGAAATGGCCTTTCGAGGTCCTCGCAGCCTTGTCGCGCCTCCTTATGCTACGGGCCGACTGCACGATTGTTGTTGTGCCAGGCTTCGCTACCGTCAAGCCTCCCACGTCCACCCGTCCGCCGAGAGCAGCCCGGGCGCGCCCGCCGCGGCAAGGACAGGAAGGAGGGGGGGAGGAGAGAACGTGCACGAACAGCGAGAGAACTACACTTACGTCGGGCTTGTCCCCCTACAGGGGGATTTTCGACGAAAAATGAAGAATACCCAAAGAATACCCCCAAAGTGTCCAAGAAAATTCAAAAAATAGTCCTCCTACTATTTTTTAACTAGTTTTGAGTATTCCTCCAATCGAGGGGCAGGCCCGACCTAAAACTACGCAATCATACACGCTCGGAGGTCTGAGCGGAGTTCTTGGGTCAGCGCCAGTCGACCCTCTCATCACCCCTCCCCGGCGGAGCGCGCCGGAGGCGGCTCGCGCTGGGAACTGCCCCGCAGGGGTGCAGGGAGGGGGGGGGGAGGGCCGCGCCGACCCAAGAGATCCGCGCAGACGAAGATGCGTCCTGGAAGAGCAGGGACCGACCGTCCCAGCATTCCTTTTTGGGCCTGCCACGATATGTTCTTAGAGCCCACGAGTGTTCGAATCACAGAAACGGTGAATGCTCTCAGAACATCAGCCCGATGTGTGAAAACAAGACAGGCCCAGGCAGAAATGTTCTAACACAACTCTGTGCAAGTCTCAAAAGGTTCTTAGCACATTCTTCGGTTGGCCTACAGGCGAGCCCGGACGCTCCGCCACTGCCTGACCAGGAGCGCCACCCTCTGTCCGACAGCGGAGGTCGTTCAAGATCGGCGCGGTTCCAGCCGCCGGTGGCCTTCCCTGGCCATCGCTCGGACGTCCACTCCCCGTGCTGCTTTCGGTTTCGCGCGTGCTTTTTTACCAGATGATCCAGGATGCTCCTCGATTTGGGCGCCCAAGAACGGAGTCATTCGGGCTTGGATTCCCGATAAACGAGCCCGAGATAGCCCTGACCCGAGTTACCCCTGATGATTTGTGGCTCTGGACGCCCGAATTATCCGGGGTAACTCGGGCTCGGGGTAACTCGGGTTCTTACTCCCCAAAGACGAACCCGAATTAGCCCTGACTCGAGTTACCCCTGATGATTCGGGGCTTTGGGCGCCCGAATTATCCGGGGTAACTCGGTCTCTTGGTAACTCGGGTTCGGATTCCCGAAAAACGAGCCCGAGTTAGCCTGACCCGAACTACCCCTGATGGTTCGGGGCTCTGATCGATGGTCTTCGCCGAAAAAACCAAGCACACGTCCGAGCGATATCACTTCAATGCTGAAGGCCCGCGCCAGCGCCGCCGCCTCGATCGGTGTCACGAGCCTGCCGTGGAAACTTTGTGCACGCATCCCGCGGAGGATGACTATCTACCAGACCACCCCAACCCAACCCGAAGACCCGAATTTGACCCGCATATTGGGTTTGGGGGGGTATAGTCACGGGGACCGAGTGTTTTTTTCAATCTTCCCCGACCCACCCCCCACTGGACATGGAGGGCCAATGGAGGCCTTCGGGTTGGGCTGGGGTGGCCTGGTGGGCGGTGAGGAGGAGGGGTAAGGCGGCCGGGCGGCCCATGGGCCGACCCCGGCCGGCGCCGGCGTCGCCCCGCGCGGGCACGGGGCGCAGACTCCGCAGGGGGCCCGCGGCGCACTTCTCGAGGAGGGCGCCAACCAAATACTGGCCATCGCTCGGACGTCCATTCCCGGTATTTCTTGTTCGCTTTCGTGCGTGGTTTGTTTCGCCCAATGATCAAGGATGCTCCTCGAGGGTCCTCGCCGAGAAAAAATGCACACGTCCGAGCGATGCCAAGGATAACGACAAGGATCCGTGCCAGGCCCACCCTGGGCCCTGGCATGGCGTGCACGCCCTGGGTTCCAGGCGTCGCAGCTTCCTCACACGGGGCGCTGTCGCCCGCCTTCGGGCCCCGGGGAGCCTCGCGGATCCATATCCATCTCGAAGACTGCCACAGACAGATGGCGTCGATGGCTCTGGCCGTGATGTTTTTTTTCCACAGCTGCAGTACTCTCGCGACGTCGCATCTCAGAGTCCTGGCTTGGCCAGGAGGGCGTAAGCGCCGATCCTGAGCTCAGGATCGACCCGGACAGGATCGGTGTCACATGTGTGGTTGGCGTCCTCCGATCACTTGGAGCGCTGGCGCATCTTGCGGCGCTTCTTCTGCAGGCGGCGGGTGCGCTTCTTCTTCCACTTCCACCGGAACATCGACCGGGCCTTCTTGTACGGGTTCGACTTGTGAGCCATGGCCGCGGGCGCCGCAGGCTGCTATGAGGGCTTGGGGCAGGAGGCTGCGGAATACAATGGGGGTCAGAAGGTTGAAGCCTTGCGAATCATCGACGTGGAACTGCCGAAGCACGGACCTCCGGCGCCGTATCCTGGAGCTCTCGGCACCCCTGCTAGGGACAGGTTTCACTCCGGATAATTTGTTCGAGGTGGTCCCCAAGCCTGAAAGCTGCTTCTGAATACCAAAATTCATTCGACGTACAATCAAAGCGCATGATAAGGAAATGCGGCAAGGATGCAAAGGGCTTGGAAGGCCATGTTGACGTTTTCCGCCGAACGGGGCTGGCCAGCGAAAGTGGCCAAAGATGGGTTAAAGGAGAAGGATGCAAGGGTAACCTTATAAAGAAAACAATCCTTACTATGCGCTTTGACTGTAACCCGTGATGTTTTTTTCTAAGATGTCGGAAGTCTGGGGAATCGCCAATGAGTCGCCGAAAGTCAGAAAAAAAAAAAAAACACGGCGGGGCACACCTGCGCCCCCTCGATTACTGACCGTGGGTTCGTGGGTTCGCGGTTTTTGTGGGGCGGCGCTTCCGCCCAGAAGCCCGCACCCCTCTCTGCCATCGCTCGGACGTCCATTCTCAGTATTTGTCGGTTTCGCGTTGGTGTTTTTGTTTTTCGCTAGATGATCCAGGATGCCCCAAGTTGGTGCAAATGTTCTGGCGCTGGCCTCGTCGAGCAAAATTACCATGGCGAGCGGCCCAACCATAGGCACGCGTGAATACCGAAAGGCAGGTGGGACGAAGGACGGGGAGCTCCTTGTGGAGCCAAACGCGTGTAAGGCGTGTGTCCAAATTGGGCGGTGCCGCCATGCTGGCGCGTGCCGAAATGAGGTTGCGCCGCCGTGCGAACGCTGCCATTTAAGCAGTTCTTTGAGCTCCCTGTGGGGCCAGGAAGCATGTGGGGTGCGCCAAAAAAGGGCAGCGCCGCCATGCGAATGTTGGCGCCTGGGCTGTAGTTGGAGCCCCCTACGGGGGCACGAAGCGTGTGAGGGGTGTGCCGAAATTTTGAGAGCGCCGCCATCCTAACGTTGTCATTTGAGCCTTAGCTGGGGATCCGTTTGGGGCCACGAGGCGTGCAAGGAATGCCGAAACGAGGCGGCGCCGCCATGCGAACGCTGGCATTTGGGCCCCACCAGTTGGTGCTCCCCGTGGGGCCAAAAGCGTGTGGGGTGTGCGGAAAAAAAACGGCACCGCCATGCGAACGTTGGCATTTGAGCCTGACTTGGAATCCGCTATGGGGCCACAAGGCGTGCGAGGGTGGTGCCGGAGTGAGGCGGAGGCGCGCCCAAAACTCTCGACCCTTCGAGGTGGCCAGTTCTTCGTCTCGGACCGGCCCTGGGCCCCGACGACCCTCAGACGCCGAAAGTGACGAAACAGCAACGCCCTTGTACCCTCAACGTCGGCGTCCGAGACCCTTGCATCCTTATGGCGCATCCTTATGATATGGGCCGACTCAGCGTGCCTGCCTGCGTGCATGTGCCGCACGCTCCGTGGCCGCCGAGGCTCGAGCCGGGGATCCTTTCGACAGATCCGAGGGCCAAACAGCAACGCCCTGACTCTCCCAAGACGTCGGCGGCCCGCGGTCGGGCGGGAAGCGCGGGGGGCTCGACAAGCGGGGGGGGGGGGGCTCGGGCCCTGCACACAGCCGCCTCTCCGGGCACCTCTCGTCGCCGAGCGCGCCTGAGCGGGAAGAGCGGGGGGCTTGACAAGGGGGGGGGGGGCTCGGGCTTTGCACACAGCCGCCTCTCCGGGCACCTCTCGCCACCGAGCGCGCCCGAGCTGCGGGGGCAGCGCCGCGCCGCAGGGCCGCAGACGGCAGGCGGATTTCGGAACCCCTGAACCCCAAAAACGCTCTCGCCTCTTGAGAGGAGGAGGAGGAGGAGGAGGAGGAGGAGGAGGAGGAGGAGGAGGAGGAGGAGGAGGAGGAGGAAGAGGAGGGGGAGGAGGAGGAGGAAGAGAAAGCGAATGTGTTGCTTCCGCCGCCTTCCGCCAGCCTGCCGCCGCCCTCCCGCCGGCCTCGGCCGGCGCGGGCGGCCTCGTTCTACTTCCGCCGGCCTTCCGCCGCCCTTCCGCCGAGGTCAAGCGCTGTTTGGAAACGCCTCGGCTGCGCCCAACAGAGTTCTCGCCTCCCCCCCCCCTCCGCTTCCCCCGCACGGGGGGCCCCCTGCAGGAGGACATCCGGCTTGGCGGGCGGGCGGGCAGCGGACTCCTCCGCCTGCCCCTCTCCACGCCCCCGAGGACAAAAATGCTGGGCGGGGGCCAGGAGCAGGCAGTGAGGCTCGTGGCCGTGAGCAGACCCGCGGTCGTGGAGCGCCCCCACGCTCTGCAGCTGTGAAGCCGATGCAGAGGGACGATGGCGATGACGATGACATCGTCATCGTTATCGTCGGCGTACAGTCGGGGCGTTGACCTAAGGAACGATAAATAAGGAACGAGGCCCCTTTCTCCCATAGAGTAAACTCCGATGTTCCATGGAAAACCTCCGGAAAACCCAAGGAGCACTGTAAAGCAATAACTAAGGAACACGGAGTCCCTCCCCAACAAAAAAGGTTCCTTCTTCAGAGCCCCGACTGTAGGCTGGTCCCGTCAGCGACCATGAATCAAGTGACGACGTATCCGCAATCTCAGATTGCCCTAAGGTGGCATCAAGGGGGCCCTCCTAAAGCCCTCTTGGCGCCATCGCTGGCCGCCTTGGAGGCCTTGCGGCTGGCGCAAGAAGCCAATAATAATGCACAACCGATTGTCTTTGCATGATTTGTCGTGAAGTCGCTTCGGTTTGAAGACCGTCTGAGACGGCTCAAGAGACCCCAGGTCCTCAAGAGGGGTCCGAGAGGGGGGGAAATCGAGGGGGCCTGCGGGGCCGCCACCCCGCAATGGCCCCCGAGACCGCCTCCATGCCCCTAAGAAGAATTCAATCCACGCCCCCGAGGAGCTTTCAAGAGGCCCCCAGGAGCTCCCATGAGACGCCCAGCCAAGAGGCCGCCGAACCCAAACCCAAGAGGCCGAAAAGAGCCCTCCAAGGCAATAGACCACAGCAGAGGCCCCTTTGCCCACGAGGCAGACACAGGCACTCCATTGGTCGACAGAATTGAAACGCTTCTGATCGTTTGTATGATTCCCGCATGGTCTGCAAAGCGCCCAGCGCCGCCCAGGAGGCCGACAAGGCCCGCCCCAGGACGGCCCTTGGGGCCCCCCCGAGAGGACCAGGACCCGAGGGGGTCCCGCACCGGCTCCGAGGGGGGCTCCAAAGCGAGGGGGGGAGAGCAGGGGGGCTTGTAATTACCACCAGGGCGGCGCACACAGAGCCCGCTCTTCTCCGATCTCGGGCCTACAGTTAAGTCGAGCCTGTCCTCCGACAAGGGGATTTTCGACGAAAAAAAAGCCCCCAAATAATTCGCCGGCCCAACGGGCCAGAGGCGTGCTAAGATCTCCGGTAACTGGTTAACAATTCTCTAGTTCGCGCGCGCGGGGCGGCCCCTGGGGGTCCCCAGACGAAAAGTACCCCGGGCGAGTCCCGGCTGATCCCCGGGCGACTCCACCAGAGCGCTCCATGAGCGCACCAACAGGGCTCCGAGACGTCCCCGAGAGCCCCAAGAAAGGCCAAGAGGCCCCCAAGAGGCCCCCAAGATGGTACACGAGGGGTCCGACATGCCACAAGATCGCTCCAAGACGCCCAAGATAGCCCCCAGACGCCCCAAGAGGCCTCCAAGTGCACTCCCAAGAGGGCCCCAGGAGGCAAAATTCATTGCTTTTCCTTAGGTTTTTGAAAGATTTTGGAGCTTCCACCTTTTCGGCTTCCCGACGCCCCAAGACGGCCCAAGAGGCCCCCAAGATCGCCCCAAGAGGGCCCAAGAGGCCCCCAAGAGGGCCCCAAGATGTCCCAAGAGGGCTCGAAGACGGCCCAAGAAGCCTCCAAGACGGTCCAAGAGGGCCCCAAGAACGCCCCCAAAGGGGCCCCAGAGAGGGAACACGAAACAACATTTCGAGCCCTCGGCCCTAAGAAGCCCCCACGAGGCCCCAAGAGGCCCCTAAGAGGCCCCAAGAGGCCCCCACGAGGCCTTCAGGAGGCCCCCAAGAGTCCCCCAAGCGGCCCCAGGAGGCCCCCCAAATGCCCCCCCGAGCACGCAAGCAAGTGCAAGCGATGCTACAATGTGCTCTTCTTTCGGTAGACTCCCAACGGGGCCCCTACAGACTTGCAACAAGTGTCAAGAACCTGCCCGAAAAGCACTGTCCAGGAGCGTTCACAAGTGCCGCGAAGAAGCCCTCCTTACGCCGGAAAGCCCGGAAAGCCGGGTGGGGTGAGCTGTTCTTCTCACCACCGCGCCCTCTCACACAATGGCTTCCGCACGCCGCCCAGAGCGCGACGTTCGGCTCATGCCCCCAGAACGCTCCAGGAGCGCGCCAAAACGGCACTGGAACGCCCCCGAAACAATCCAAGCGGCCTCAAGTCGCCGAACAATCGCTCCAAATCGCCCAAGATGACCTCAAAATTGCCGTCGAGGCCGCCAAGAAGACCCAAGAGAGCCTCAAGAAGCCCTCCAAGACGGCCATTACAATCAACATGATGGACCCACGAACCCGGAAAGGGATATAGACATGTGCAGCATGGTCACGTTTTCACGATATCCAACTGGGCGACACCTCACGAAACATCCCACGAGACACCCCGCGAAACATCCCAGGAGACACCTCACGAAACAACCCACGAGACACCTCACGAAACATTCCACGAGACACCCCGTGAAACATTCCACGAGACACCCCACGAACAGGCAACCACTCAACCATACACCCCACGAAACATTCCACGGGGGTGCGACTGGGTGTGGTCGTGCTGGGGTGTGGTCGTGCTGGAATATGGTCGTGTTGGGGTGTGGTCGTGCTGGGGTGTGGTCGTGCTGGGGTGTGGTCGTGCTGGGGTGTGGTCGTGCTTGGGGGGTGGTCGTGATGGGGGGTGGTCGTGCTGGGGCGTGGTCGTGCTGGGGCGTGGTCGTGCTGGGGCGTG